AAGACAATAGGGATGTTGGTGTTTTGATTCCGATTTATTAATTGCTAGATTTTGTATGATCTATGGATAAGCTTGCAAATTCTATAACTTTATGGTTCTTGCATTAATGCTTGCTTTAGCAAAAGGTTCTAAGGAATTAGGCTTTGGAATAAAGTAAATTATCAAATTACCAAGGGATTGAGATTTAATCAATTTTAGAAAGAATCACTTAATCTTGAATGTTGATTGTAAGAAGAGGTAGACTTGTTAAGAAAAATATTGGGGAAGTCGAGTTCCTAGCTACGTCTTTTATTAGAAGTTAAAAGCCAATTTCTTCGCATTTTAATTCTTGAATTCAGTTAGTTCTTAATTTCTTAAATATTAAAAATTAAAAACAAGTTCTTTAATTCTGTTTTTACAATTAAATTAATTCTCTCAACAAAACCATTTTAGGATAGATCCAACTTTAATAGCGTAGATAAATTAGTGTTGATAATCAGTTCTAGTGAAATCGACAACCTTACTTTATCACTTTATTACTTGTACGACCGGTGCACTTGCCGAAGTCGCAACAATCACCCAATATTTTGAATTCAGATTCGACCGATGATGGTTTAACAAATGACAAGGTCGACTCAATATTTTGATAACACTACAGATATTTTATTATGCATGGCTAAATTATAAAATCTTAGAAGTATGAAGCAAAAATTAATGGCCATTTTACTATGTATATTTCAAAATAAACTATATCAATACAAAATAGATTATCATGTTACGAAAAAGGGACTAATTTAATTGAAAAACTTATTATTTATTACTAATTTTTTTTAAAATTTTGTGACTTCATTCTAAAGAAAGAGATCACGGAATGTGAGTTTGCCGTAAAAAGAGGAGATCAAGTATTCATGAATATGTTAGGATATAAGATACCCAAGAAAAATGCATTCTGATAGATTGACAAGGATATAGACAATAGAATTAGAACAAGGATGAAATGATATGGTGCATCTGAATTTTTGTATGATTATAAAATTCCTCTTAGGATAAAAACAGTATGGTTAGCAATTATATATGAAGTTAAATGTTGACCAATGCAAAAACAATTTAAGCATAAAATGAGAGTTGTAGAAATGAGGATGTTAAGGTAAATGTGTTGTTATACAAGAATTTATAAGATAAAAAATGAAAATATTTGACAAAAATAAGAGTAGTACTGATATAAGAAAAAATGAGAGAACATAAATCTAGATGTTTGAATATATTCTTCAAAGGCATTTAGATGCTTTAGTAAGAAAAAAAAAAGTCATCCAAAACTTAATTGGAAAAATAATAAAAGAAGACTTGATGACGTAGTCACTATTAGAAAAGTCCAAATTATCGATGAAATTTATCTATAGAAAAAATTCTGTCGAAACTAATGACAAAATTTTCGACCGAAAATGTATTCCTTCAAAAATAGAAACGAAAATAAATTTTGTCAAAAATAAAGATAGATCTTTCGACAAAAAATGAATTTCATCGAAAATATTTAACGAAAAAAGAAATTGTTAAAGAAATTATATTGGGGAAACTTTTCAAATAAAAATGAATTTTGTCGAAAATTCTCGACGAAAAATGAATTCCGTCGAAAACCTTTTAAAAAAATGAATTGGAAAAGAAATTATTTTTTGTGAAATTTTTTGACGGAAAAAGGTTTCCGTTGAAAATCTTCGATGGAAATGAATTTCGTCGAAAACTTTTGAAAAAAATCTAATTGAAAAAGAAATTATATTTTTCAAAGTTTTTGACGAAAAATAAATTCCGTCGAAAATGTTTGAAAAAATTAATTCAAAAAAATTATATTTATGAAATTTTTCGACGAAAAATGTATTCCCTAAAAAAAATTTGCGTTGAAAACGTTTGAAAAAAATTAATTGGACAAGAAATTAATTGCACGCTACTAGTTGAGTGCAATTTCTCTTAAAATGGAGCGGAGAAAAAATATTAACATTATAAAGGACAAATTATTTATTTATTTAATATTATTATTTTATTTATTATTTGTTCTCGCTATTATATAAGTTCACCAACGGCTGATGATCAACTAGTTTAGAATAAAATAAATATTAATGTTGATCACGACTTATTGCTTCAAAACAAAACATGACTCAAATGGAACTTAAAAATACGGAAAAGAAATCTAATTTTAAGATATTGAACATGTTCTAATTAGCAATGTTATTAAACCTGGCTCAGTTATTAACCCGGTCGATGTACTGGGTCACTGGTTTAACGAGTGGGTCACTGGTTCAATCGCATGACCCGATAAGTATATGTAAATCTATAATTTATATTTAAAAACTATAAATATACTTAAATACTTGTAAAAAATGATACTAATTTCAAATATTTTAACATGAAAATAATAAATTATACATCATTGTCCAACAAAAGATTTGTCAAACATATAATATTTGTGATACTAGTGTTTCAGGTTTAGTAAACGACATCTCTAACTATAAATCAAATCAAAATTCCCTGCATATTGCATAATTAAGATAATATTAATGTTGTAGGTACATAATCTATGTAAGTTAATAAGCTAAAAATCACTCAAATATTTCAAAAGAAAATAAATCATCTGTGTTTGAAAGTAAAAAAAAGAAGATATCAATTGATGAAAATAAATTAATTTTTTTTTGTTTTTTATAGACCAGGTCGGGTAATCGGTTTTTTCGAAAACCGGCCGGGTCGCACCGGTCACACCGGTTCTGTAACATGGCCGGTCCAATATGAAAATCGGACCGGTTACATAACCGTTCACCGGCTTCTGGGTGGATCCAATTTTTATAACACTACTAATTAGACTCACTCAACTCAAGTAAATGATGTTGGATTCAATTTCTATGTTTTTTTATGAGAAATATTATATTTAAAAACTTTTTGTTTAAAAACTCTTATAAACTACACTATGTCTGACCAGTCAGACTTTAATTAAGAGTGTGTAACTAGTCAGACATAGTGTAATTTGTAAGTTTGTAAGAAATTTTTTTATCAATATAACCCTTCATTTCTTTTATTGGTAGGTCTTATGTAAGGAAGTGGTTGTTTAGACTTATTGGCATGTATTGACCTTGGAATGTGATTTCCTACCTTCCCATAAGCTTGTAAAAACTAAATAAATCAAATTCATTATTCCCCTAACAACCATGACAGATAATTTTATTCCTTTTTTCTGTAATAATATTTCGGGTAAGCATTAGATAATTATCATATAAAAGCATGAGGCGTTTCAAAAGTCAAGTTTTAATGCTTTTATAAAAAGACAAGTTCTCTCCTTGATAGCTCGGCAAAAGCGACTAAATTTCTTGGTAAAATGATTCAATTTCGGGAAGCTGTTATCTCCATCTCCTTTGTCTTCATCATTCATTTTATTACTGAGCTTTAATTAAGGCGATGAAAACAAGCTCAAAAAAGAAGAAAAAAAAAATCATAAAATAATGATTGCATATAAAACATGAAATGTTCAGCAGTCATATTTTAATGTTCTTAAAAAGAGACAAGTTGTCTCCTTAGCAATTTATCAAAACTGATTAAATTTCTTGACCAAGTAATTTAATTTCGTGTTTCCACCTCCTTTTTTTTGGAAATGTGTTTCCACCTCCTTGGTCTTCCTTCATCCCTCATTTTATTATTGTGCTTTAATTAGGGTGATGAAAACAAGCTCACATAAGCAAATGCAGCCATGATTTGCTCTAAAATTGCTCATAAATTATTGTACCAAAAAAAAAAAAAAAATTTGCTGACAAGTTTATGCAGAAGACTCTTAAATTAAAGCCGTTTATTCTTATTTTTATTTAGAGGAAGGATATTGTGACAACCAAGTTGTGTTACTACCAAGTGACTACCAATCAATCTTACCGTTAAATCGATTATTTTGATCCAACGGTTATATTTATTTCCATCTTTGTATGGTCATGATTCCCCAAATTTAATACTTTATATTTATTTTCACCTTTGTATGGTTACGATTTCCCATATTTAATGTTTTCACTTTAAATATGGGGAATCATGACCCTACAAAGATAGAAATAAATATAACCGTTGGATCAACATAATCGATCTAACGGTGAGATTGATTGATAGTCACTTGATAGTAACACAACTTGGTTGTCACAATATCCTTCTCCTTTTATTTATATTAAAAAAAACTTTTATGTAAAACATTTGCTTCACACAAGCACAGGCATGACTATAAGCATGGAAGAAGTCACAAGTTAATGGGCAGAGGAAGAAAAATTACTATTCAATTAAAACCATCTTCTGTGAAGCTCAGCCATCCTTAACTGGATTTTTTTGAAGAAGTTAAAGGTAGGTTAGGTACTGCAATTAATAAAGAAAAAAGAACAAGAAGCATAATTTTCGAAAACATGTGAAAGATGCATAGTAAATGGAATTAAAAAAAAAAAAAATTAGAAAACTTGAGCGGCCAAAGATAATGACTACAGAAATCTTGAGCAGCTTAGTTAACAACCTTGCTTTGTTTCACATAAGTTGAATATAAATTATTAATAATAAAACATTGACCTTCCGTGAGTTATAAAAAAGGATGAATGGTATGTGCAGGATATGCAAACTTGTTGCACTCTCAATCATCACCGAACATAATGGGTTGCAATAAGCTCATTAGATTGGTTTTTCAGAAGTTGAACACAAGAAAATTTCATGGCATTGCTGAAAGTCAAAGAAGCTCAAAATGGAGGGGTCTTATTAAGAAAGAGATAGAAAGTGGAATCCCTGAAGAAAGTGACTCTGTCTGCATATACAAGGTTCCATCAAACATGCTAGAGGCCGAATCCAAAGCCTACATACCCAACAACATCTCAATTGGTCCTTACCATTATGGACAACCAAAATTGCAAAAAATGGAAATGCTGAAAAATAAGTTCTTTCACAGACTCTTCGATCCAAATGGTGTAAATGGAGCCAAATTAGACGAGGCATGCAAGTTCCTAGAGGAGCATGAAGTCAAAGCTCGAAGATGTTACATGGGTGAAATCAAACTAAGCAGTGATGAGTTTCTTCATATGATGCTTGTTGATGGCTCTTTCATCATTCAACTCTTGAGGGACTTATCAAAGAACAATTTCGACGAAGTCCCTTCTCTTAGTAGATGGAACAATGTCGAACAAGTCCCTTATCTTAGTAGATGGATGCTACCCACCATTCGTCGTGAGTTGATAATGCTTGAAAACCAGCTTCCTTTGTTTGTTTTGAACAAATTGTTTGAATTGACAGATAACACTCTTGTTCCTTCACAACCATGTATGAGTCTGAATGATCTTGCCTTCAAATTCTTCTACCGTTTGCTTCAATCAGACAAAAGCCCAGAATGCAAGAAAGATTATGAGTTCGAAATAAAGCACGTTCTCGATCTTCTAAGATCCAACATTCGGTTCAAGTCCGGGGGAAAAGATAAAAGAGGAAATCAGAAACAAATGATTCGTTCTATAACAGAGCTAACAGAGGCTGGTGTGAAAATCAAGGCAGCTGATAAGAATCAGGAACTGCTTGATATAAGCTTTGAGAAAAAGTGGGGAGTGGTAATGAGGGAACTCACTATCCCTCGTTTGCACATAAGTGATCACAGAGGGACTGTGTTTCGTAACATGGTAGCCTTTGAGAAGTGTCACAAGAGATGTTACCCTGATGTGACAACTTACATGTTCTTCTTCAATAGGCTAATTAACTCAGCAAATGATGTGGCTATTCTTCATTATAAAGATGTGCTTCACCATTCCTTAGGGAATGATCAACATGTGGCTGAACTAATCAACGACATCACGAAAGAAATAGTTCCTGATATGAATGAGTCCTACTTGCACAAAGTGGTGAATGAGGCAAATGAGTACTTTGGTACAAGGTATGCAAAATCAAGAGCTTCTTTAGTGCGTCACTATTTAACTAGCTGGACTGTGGGCATATCAACACTTGGTGCGATCTTGGCACTTTATTTCACCTTCTTACAAACAATTTGTGGATTTGCGGATGCGTTAAAAAAGAATTCATTGCAGAGTCCAACGTTTGGTTCAATCATCAAAGAAGCATTTGTTCTGCCATTTCGGGATGGATTAAATTCATTGGCGAGCAAAACGTTTCGTTTTCGTCACACTCGTAAACCATGATTATAATTGCGGATACGGCTGCAAGGATCTTCGTGGTTTGTGACGTATTGTGATTTTAAGCTAAAGCACCTTTTATTCTCTCAAGACAGTTTGAATTCATATTTTGGTCATTTATGTATTGTTATGCACTTGCCTCCATATTGTTATATTGTTCCCCTCACCTCTTTGGGGTCTCAAATAAAAGCTACAACATTCTTTTCCTTTGCCTTATTTTTTTAAGGATTAATGTTTTTGAATGTTATACGAGATAATTTTATTTCTTACCTCTATGTAAAAAGAATAGAGATAAAAAGAAAATATGAGCTTCATTTTTTTTATATATGTGTAGAAGATAAAATTAACTTCTATAACCTAAAAAACATTAAAATATTTCTCCAGTCACTAGAGATAAAATTATCTTCAGCTCAAAACGACGTCGTTTTGGGTTATAAGATTAAAAAATTATAATGATAAAGACTAATATAACCCTGCAATATATTATAATTACAAAAGTATCTTGATTTCCTTCCCAAAAAGACGTCATTTTGAGCTCACTGGAGATAACTTATCTTCATTAATTAACCGGTGAAATCCTTTACCTTTTTTAATGCCAAAATGCTAACTAATTTTGGGTTTGAAACTCTCAACTCTTGAGTTGCACTCTAAAAACTATCCAAATAATGTGTTAGGATATTATGTATAATTTTTTCATACTTATTTTATCTATTTCTCTCTAACACCGCTACATCAAAATCTTAACTGTTTTTCACCCTTTTTTTTTTCTTCTTGAGATCCTGATTTAACGGTATTAGAGAAAAATAATTATTATACTAATAATAAAAAAAGAATAGAGTAGACAGAAAAAATAAGATAGGTATAAAATCCTATCCCAAACAATTACTGCATAATTACCGTATAAAATTGAAAACCTGCAGAAATGAAAAACAATTAATCCAAACAGATCGCAGTAGAACCAGTGTTTAAAAACCCGGCCCGACCATCGACTCGGCACAGGTCAGGGGTCATGGGGTCACAGGTTCAAACGGAGGGTCACGGGATCACTTCGTTAACCTTTTTATACATTAAAAAATATAAATATATATTCTATATGAAAAATTAAAAAAAATCAAACCACCAATAACTAAAGATTCAAAATATACTTAACATAATTCAACCAGTTACATCCACAAGTCAATATTCACAAGTTAATCAAAGCATCAAACTATCAAAGTATAAAACACATATTCTAATTGAGTTAATGAAAAGTTATATTATCAAACTCAGGCTCTTGTTGTCCTTCTGATGCACCTATAACAGTATGTGAAAGGACATCCCTTATCCAATAGAGAATAGTGGAGGAGAGGCGGCGACACAAATTCACGGTGCGGAGAAAAAAACCAGCATGATGGAGGAGATCATCGGAACAGGGAGACTGAGTCAGGTTTAGGAGAGAAAATCGGAAGAGAAGAAGAAGAAATATTTAGATTTCAGATCTAATTCTAAATCTAACCACCAACGAGTTTTTTTTTTTAGTCATTTCATGTATAATTTTTTATAAAAAAAATGCAATGACCCCTTTGACTCCTTTAACTCGGGAGTACGGGTTCAACTGGAGAATTTTGAGGGTTAGAAGAATCAACGTGCAAGTATGATCTAATTATTAACTCGAACCCTCAGAGAAACAGAGAGTCACTAACCTGGAAAGGTCAATCCCGAGTGGGATGAGATTTTAAAACACTTAGTAGGATGCAGTCACGTGATCAATTTTAAAAGCAATCAAATCTCTTGACCGAATAGTATACTTTCATTGATGAGTTATTAAAATGGACTGTCTCCACCTCCTTGGCCTGAATCATTTAATAATCAATAATTCATTATTTCCTACTTAATTAACGTATAAAATTTAAGACACGCAGAAATGAACAGCTGTTATCTTGAATATAGAAATATATGCATATATTTCTTTTTTGTTATATTCAAAAAGAAATATATGTATAGAATTAATGCAAACAGCTAGCTAAACAGTTGAATGCAAGCAGTCACATGATCAATTTGCAAATAATTAAATAAATGAATAAACTAAATTTACTGACCGAATAGTATAATTCGATTAGTGAACTATTAAAATTTTCAAAATTATATGGTTGCCTCATATTACAAAATTAGTTTAGGAAGTTGATATATTAGCGAAGATTTTTCTAATTTTTTGGTAAGTTTTCCTTTTAAATATAAGACATATGAAATTGTTATAATGCTATATTTTCAGTCTTAAAATTTCGTGCAGTTTAACACTTGATATCCATGTTAGCTTAAATTTCATGGGTCATGTTTCATTTTAAAACTAAGACATAAATTACAACAGTAAAATTTTTTCAATTTTTTTACATTTTTTCTGGGGTCCGATTAAAGTCATGACATGCGGTCATTTATTGCCGAATATAGCCTGCTCCTATGTAGCACCGACAGTGACACGGGACACGTGACACGATACGACACGACACTCCGACACGTTAATTTTAAAAAATGTTAAATTTTGACACGTTAGGACACGTTTTGATATTAAATAATATATTTAATTTATGTAGTATACATTATCTTTAATATTCAATAATTTAACAAAAAAATGTATCTAAACTTATAATATTTATAAATTTTGCAAAGAAACATAAGATATTCCAAATATTTATGTTAAACTCAATAAAATGGTAATCATAATTTAACGAATCTAACAGTTGGAACTAAAAACTCAACGCAATTTAACCTTTGAACCGTTTTTTGAATTTCAATAACGCGTGTTGGAGTGTCGGGGAGTGTCGGAGTGTCCGAGAGTGTCGAAAAATGTCGAACACGACACGTCAGAATTTTTGAAGTGTCGGTGCTTCATAGACCTGCTCTAACAAGTTAGTAAATTCTATGAGCTTAGTTGAGGGAACAAATAATCTCATTAGCCCAAACAATTTTAAAGACAAGTATTTTAATGCCATGGGATTATGTATGTATAAACTATATTATAATAACTTTAGTACGGAAGTTAGGTACAATACCCTGCATGAATCAAATCGCGAATGATTTTAGCTTTAAAATAATTTTTAAATTAAAAAAAGGCATATATCCATTTGCTTTTCTGGATAGCGGTGGATTAAGAAGTTGAAATGGATAATGAGATGTTTCATAAACAATTAATAAAAATACCGAAACAATTTCCAATCCCTAAATCATTGTTGTAAAAAACTAGTCTAAGAACATATAAACGATAGAAATACATTATAAAAACGTGTTAGAACGTAAATAGAAACTGTCCTTAGTATAAATGGATAATAACGCCGTGTAGAAACGTAAAAATGGTAGAAACGTAAATTTTTACATTTTTTTTGCTGTTTTTACTTAAACTCAATTTTATTTTATTTTTTTAAAAAAAACCTATTTTTAATTTTTTTAAATTCAATTTTCTCTTTTAATATTTTTGGACTTGTATCTTATATATATATATATATATATATATATATATTTATTTACGTGACTTATATTTTTAAATATGAAGTTATTTATTAAACTTTTAGCAGCGACTTATGTAGAAAACTTTTTTACATGCATATATATATATATATATATATATATATATGGATTTTATTAATCTCATGTTAAAGGAGATAATTATCTCATGTTATAGAGATAAATTAGTGGGCTCCACGACCTGAAAAAATAAAATAAAAGAAAAGAAAAAAGTGGCACAATTATCGAAGGGTGTGTAGGAGAGAAAACTTATGTCATGTGACATAAGAATAGTTTTTTCCTATATATATATATATATGGGCTTAACATTTCTGCAGCCGCCGTAGATAACACTCTCTACGGCTGACACAGAAAAGTGGGCCTCACGGCGTTTTAAAAAAAAAAAAAAAGGATCCGGTGCCATATCTTAGGATTCGGACGCGGATCCTGGCTAGCTGTAGGTGCGGCGGCTGCAAAAATGATTTTACCTATATATATATATATATAGGCAAAATCATTTCTGCAGCCGCTTTACGTACAACAACGATAGGTGTATGGTTATGATTTCTCACATTTAATGCTTTCATCTTTTATATGGTTATGATTCTCGGCATTTAATACTTTCACATATATATTTGGCAAGTATTTGACTGCTGCACGTATAGTAGCTGCAGAAATGTAAACCCCATATATACATACGGGGAAGGATCCGTTTACACATTTTTTTTACAAATTTTTATAAATTACACTATGTATTCTCGGAAGAACATAATGTAATCTAGTGTTCTCTCGGGAGTACATAGTATAATTTGTAAGAGTTTATAAACAAAAAATTTGTAAATATAATCCTCTTATATATATATATAATTTTGTATTTTGACCTTAAATAATAAAAATCTTACGTTTTGTTTCATTTCTACAATTTATAATTCTATCACCCTCTTTCGTTTCCATGTAAAAACTCGATTTTAATTACATTGCACCCCCTTCCGTTTGTATATAAAAATTCGATTTTTACTACGTTTCCCCAAACAACCACGCATGAACTTAAATCGTTCACAAACCCGTAATATAGTTCATGTTGGAGAAACAGAAAGCAAATACTCTAAACAGCTACCTACCAGTAGAACACATGATAAATTTGTAAAATATATAAATTAATTAATTAAATTTCTTGACCGAATAAAGTAGTTCCCATTAGTGAGTTATTAAAATGATCTAAATTCCATCCGCTCAAAATTTTATTTTATTTTGTTATTATTAAAAAACGCAATTTGATAGTCATAATATATGATTGACAATTTGACATGCGCTTTCCTCCCGTGAGCCACGTAGGAGAGTAGGATACGTACGACACTGTTAATTATATTGACTTTAGTAAGGAAGTTAGGAATAATTAATGTTATTACAACTGGATCGGATATTAACCTAATCGGAATATTGTCTTATTTGGTCAATAATTTAGTCGGTGATCATTGATTGAATTATCAGACCTGAATATATATATATATATATAGATTTAATTATAT